AAGGTCACCTGCCTCATGGTCTACAGGAGGTGGCAGGTTAGACATGACTGATGAGGATGTACCTGCAGTGAGATAGCCAGCAACTCCAGGTCCTGTGAGGTATCCTGCTGTTTGTGAGTCAGAAATGAACAAATCATGTTTCTGATCTTTGAAGGCACTCCAGATTGAAGAACGAGATAGGATTTCATTCACCTGTTCTCCATACTGCAGGCTTCGAGTCATTGCCTTGAGAGCTTTCACAATCTGAGCCTTAGTGGCAGCAGGGCTATCCAGAGTTTCAAGGCCTATGCCTTCAAGTAGTTTTAAGAGGTATGGAACCAAATCTGCTTTTAGGGCTTGTGCAACTAATTCACTCTGTTCCTTCTGAAACATTCGATTAATTGCTTCACAAGCTAGACCAACAGTATCTGCTCGCTTTTTCATTCCATTCATCAGTGGGCCAATAGTTTCTAAAGATGCCATGGCTCGAACACATAGCTTGTTTTCAGACAGAGCGTGAATAACCCAGATGGTGCTCTTAGGAACTGCATTGTTCCTGTGATTCATTGCCTGGATGACTTTGGGAAGATGGCCCAATGGTGGGACTTGATCTGCCAGCTGAGGCTGTGCATTAAAGAGACACATTGTTGCCATTGTCAGTGTTTCCAGAGTTTCCCCATGAGGACTGTTTTTCTCTAGGAGTTCAGTTAATTTTTCCAGTAGTGCAGTGAGAAATTCTCTGGGCTTTCTTAGAACCCAAGCTGGCTGTGCAATAAAGATCCTCAAGAAAACTCCTCCAACAGCCAGTTCACCTTCTGCTTCTCCAAACACCACAGCGAAATCCTCAGGCAACTTCCAGTTTACATCAGGGTTGTCCTGTTGACTTTTAAAGTGCTCTAGCATCATTTCTCTCACTGTTGTAGACACTTTATCTCTGGAACTATCATTCCAAATTAACTCAGGATTTTCATGTGTTCCTTCAAAAATATGTACAGCAGCTTCAGGATTGTCTCTCATAGCATCCATGAAAACGCTAGGCAGAAATTTCATTAATGTAATTCAAACCTTTGGACCTATTAGTTTATCCGCTGTCATTTTAGCAAAAAGTTCTGCTGTCTGGGTTCGAACCTGTGGATGTGTTGAATTGCAGAACATATCCAATAAATAAATCAAAGCTCCCTTGGCCATCGCCTCTTTGATTATTTTTGTACTTGATGCCAAAGCATAAAGAGTTTCCAGAACAAGCTGCTGGCTTGATGGCAATGAATGCAGAAGGGCCAATAAACTGGACAAAACCATTGATTCTGCAATATTGTTCACACAGTCTTGATTAGATGTCACTATATTCACAACCTCTAAAGCCAACTGTTGCACTTGACCAGCTCCATGGACTCGGAGAAGAGAAAATATTAAAGTGACCAATGCATTCACTTTCAGAGCCTGGATTGTATTTTATGACATTTCTCAAAGCTTCCAAAGCCATTTCTACTCTTGGCAAGCGATCTCCATGCTGTTCTGATTCCACTTTTGCAGCATGTGTGATGGCCATGAATGTGTGCAGGTACTGGGCCTGAGAGCCTATGAAATCCAACAGACTTGCAGCAAATACTTTTGGAGCCTCTAGCTGGAAAGTAGGAACTTCATTATACACCCTAACAAAAATCTCTCCCACAATAAGTTCTTTGGCATGATCACTGTAGACAAACTCTGATCCATAGGTTTTGTCACAATCACCTTTTTTAATCATGCTTTCTTGTTGTGACTCAAGAAACTCAAGTAGTTCTGCTCTCGTAGAATTATTCCATATCAAGTAGGGGTTCTCAGTATTGCTGTTAAGCATCTTCAAAATCTCAGTAGCACTAACCACAGCAAGTTTTCTAGCAACATAGGGTGTCAGCATGCCAGCTAAACTTTTCCTTACAGTTGGATTTTCTGGGGTTCTTTGATCTTCAGACAAGTATCCTCCAAGGCGACTTAGAGCATGGACACTTAGTTTATAAAGCAATATTTGTAAAGCAATTACAAATATATAGTCTTATTTCCCACTGTTTTATTTTAAACTTTAACAATATATTCTGAATGTGTTTTCATAATCATAATTCCATTCTTTTTTAGCTGTGTAGTATTTGCTGTATAGATTTAACAGTTTATGTAAACAGTTCCTTTTAAATGATCATTTAGTTGGTTTCAATCTTTTCCAACTATAAAAATGCTTTTATGTACATAAGTTATTTCATGATATGTACATACAAATACATACATGAACATAAAATATATGCTCATATATGTTTGTGGTCTCTGTGGGATATTAGTTTATAATTCCTGAGCTAGTGTAATAATAATGCTGTTCAAACTGTGATGATGGTTTCCATCTTCTAGACCTGTAGAAGCACCACCAGGGTACATTAAAATAGGTTTTAGCATCAGGCAGACCTGAGTTCTAATCCAGCTTTGTTTCATATTAACTCTGAATTATTACACAAATTGTTTAACGTCTTTGGTCTTTAGTTCTTTCATTCATGGGGGCAGGGATAATAAGATTCACCTTACATGGTGGTCATGGGAGTTAAACATGGTTGTGAAATGTCAGTACTCTTTCTCCAGGCAACTGTTGCCCTCTGGAAAAAGAGCATCTGTCTTTTTTCTTGTCTCTTTGAGACAGGATTTCTTTCTGCAGCATAGGCTAGCTTTGAACTCACTTTGTAGCCCAGGCTTGCCTCAAACTCACAGTGGTCCTCCTGTATCAGCTTAAGAGCATCTGTCCTATCCACCTCTGTATCCACAGGTCCCACCACAGTGTTTGACCACACCTAGCATTCAATAAATATATACTGAGCATTGAATGAACAAACATAATGACCCAATTTTGAGTTGTCCTTTGTTTTTATAATTGCTCTTGGCTTTTGTTGTTATTGTTACTCTTCCTTCTTTACTTGTAGGACAATACAATCAAGACTTCAAAATATAATGCCTTAAACTTCCTGCCCATGAACCTATTTGAACAGTTCCGGAGACTTGCAAATGCCTATTTCCTGAGTTTGGTGTTCCTGCAGGTATTGCCTGTTGGCCCTTTTCCATATATTGTTTATAAATTTCTCTAGGGTCAGCTAAACAGAAAGATATTATCTCTCTTTAGACACAGACAAATGGATCGGTGGGGTTTCGGGCCAGTGTCCTAGTATAACTGAGATCAGGACTAGCCAGTATAAATCAAACCTGTACAGATCTTAGAGACCTGAAGGAAGGGGATCTTCTCATCATGGTCACATAGTCATGGTTAACTTGACCACAGGCAGCCAGCCATACACCCTACTCCAACCCTATTCTTTCTTATTCCAGCTGCTGTGGCAGGAGTTGAGGAGGGAGGGTGGTTTAGAATATAAGAGTAGTAACCAAAGAAAACATCAGCATAGGCTAGGCACACACTAGAAAAAGGGGACAGAAAGATCAACTCACCTGTCCTTGTGCTGAAGGAACGTTGGGGACTGTATGGTTTTTTCCACATCAACTCATAGCACCTTACTCCTGGTACCTTTCATCATGAAGGAACAGGCCTTTTCCATCAGGACAAAGGTAGTAGAATTCAGCACAGATAGATATCAGTGTGTAGACTTTTCTTCTTTACTCACATTTGGAGGGCTAAAGCCTATGTAGCAGTAGAAAGCAATATAGATTGTTAGATTTATTATGATTCTAGGGAGGTAAAAATAGTGGTGTGGCAGGAGATAAAAGAAACATATAATCCTTTAAATTTGCTGACCCTGGATTCTCTTTCTTTCCCTCTCACAGTTGATTCCCCAGATTTCCCCCTTGGCAAGTTATACAACTCTAATACCTCTGACGGTGGTGTTGGCCATAACAGCCGTGAAAGACGCCATCGATGATATGGTGGAGTTTCTTCCTGGGCTTCCCTTGCTGTACCTAGTCAGGCTATGGGCAAGAAGATCACCCAGTTGTGCCTTGTGCTAAGAAGCATTGAGTGAAAAAGAGACATTTCCCTTCCTTTTTTCCTTATTCATCCCAGAGGGATATGTAGTAATTGGGTCTACAGGGTCAGAAAAGCCTAGTGTAAGGTCTTGGTTCCACCACCTTTTTAGCTCTCCTCCTCTTTCATCTTTGATAACCCACCTTTCCTTAGCTTTCTCAGGCTTTACTGTCATTCTTTTTCCTCTGTTCCTCTTCCTCCCATTTCTACTCTTTCTCCTTCTTTCCTGCCCCCAGCTCCCTTTCTCCTGTTTGTCATTTCTTTTCCTCTCTTTCTCTAGGTTTCCCTTCTCTCTAGTTCTATTTCCCTTTCCAACTTTCAGTTTTACTCAGCGTGCTCAGTAAGGAGTACTCTGGTTTTAGAAAGCCTCATGACAGAGGCAGAGATCATTCCTTTCCCAGCCTTGGGAAGAGAAACTGGCTCACATTGAGTGCTGCAAGAGGAAGGACCCAGCCCCACACCTGCTAGTGGGATTTGGGAAGCCATTCCATGCAGTTTCCCCTAGAGTGCTTTGTATTTTTCCAAAGTAAATTTTTAGACAAAAGTTTGAGAACTCCTTAACTTCATTAAATCTAGGGCCAGCACACATGGACATGTATGTTTCAGTCACAACTGAGAGGTACAGAAATGTAGCTTTATTTCTCTACAACTAATTTTATTTTTATTTTTATTTTTATTTATTTTTTTTAGCATCATGGGAGTTTTATTGTGCAGTGAAACTTTTAAACTATCAATACAAATGCCAGGATACTACATAAAACATCCACAGGAACTTTCAACTTGTTTTTGAATAGTTCACAAACATTTCCTACATAATCCAACATACAACAGAGAAATGGTACATCTTTTTCTTGCAATTTGCATACAATGGAAAAACATGTATAT